ACGCGTTTCCCCGTGCGTAAATGGTGTACAGCGTGGTTGCTGTGTTCGACAAAACTCTGGGCATCAGTGATGGTATTACGTGACACATGTATCTAAGCTGCTAGCTTCTCGCATCCGTGTGTCAGGTGCCCATCGGTCTCGACATTGTCGACAGTCCGCTTCGCAAGCAGTGGATAGCGTTGGCTACGATTGATCGGTCGTCGACGATGAGAATATGCGTTCTGTACTTACGACGAGTTAATAGTTGATGGAGCGTTTTCAGTGGATGCTGTGACTGCAGTGGGTGAAGTGCCGTAGATATGTGGATGGGTGGATGGCAGGTTGCTCACTATGTTCGACGTTCTTTTTGTGGCTGCTTGAACAGGATGGGCTTCAACCCGTACATCCAGTGCGATCCAACGACCCACGTCAAGCACTCGCATACTCATGGGCTGAAGAAGGTCATATCGGAGTACGCAAAGGTCGGCTCTTCTTGTAACGGGGAACTGTTGACTCGTACTGGTTGACCAGTATGGACCATACTTCCACTTACGACAGTGTTGACAGTGCCCGGCTAGGTGTTGAAGGAACACAGAGGAAGGAAAGGAGACTAAGTCGTCAGACTGGTCTCTGGTAAAAGTAAAACTGTATAAATACAATTATTCCAATAACTCCTGGAATTTTCTGTTGTCCTGACTTAATTATACCAATCTTACTAAATGTATGATGACGTCTACTCATCACCCATTGTGCGCGTCTAGCAGTGATTGGTTGGTTGACATCATGACGATATCAACCAATGAATAGACCCTTCGGTCATCTCAACAATATCACCATGTCTGTGATATTGTTAAAAGAATATCCGACGTAATAATTTTTATTGTAAAATTGTTTTAATGAAAATTTCATGTAACGGGCTACCCCGTTACAATTCTCGTCCAATCATGTGTAGAGAGTTTGCTTGCGACAAGAGCGTGAAAAATAGTGACTGGTACGGGAACCAGCGCATGTTTTAAAATGTAAAGATCAAGAGAGGGAGAGTACACAATGTTGTGAAGATAACAAAACTGACAACAATCCTGTTTCGTGCGAGTTGGCCAAATGAATGAACAAGGAGAAGGGGTGACCTACGAGATTGTGGGTGGCAACGTGTTTGGGTAGACTACAGAAGTCGCCAAATTCGTTGAAACCAAGAGTGAGCTTTAAAGTGGTGAATATGCATGTGGTCGGTCGGAAGATCGACTCTAATCATAGATGATTGATGCGTGTTCGTAGCTCTGACCACGACTGAGGTCTAAAGCAAGAACGGTGTCGTATACTTCCAGTCGCACTACAGCGACAAGAAAAGAACCATGTGCGAGCCCAATCCGTACATGATGTATGATAACCGGAAGAAAGTGTACACGACGACGGAGAGTTAGACCTTCTAGCACGACAATTACACGCCGTCACGTGATACGATTCTCTCATTTCCAAGAACATTTTGAGCGAGCTGACCTCGACGGTAAAGGTTGAAATGGATTATTGTACTATCCTGTATATACGCTGTATCATAAGAGTCAGGACGAGCTAACGCGTCTCGTCGATCTTGTTCAAATGTACTTGTTGTATTGCTCATTATTTAGTGCGATATCACTCATCCGATATACAATGGCGTGAAGACCAACATCTATGGGTTCTGCGGAGTGATGGTTAATTCGATAATGTTTGTAGTATGCGCAGGTGCTGGATCTACAATGCGCCCGGCGGCTTGAAGTTGTCTGTATCGTTCGATGTGTTTGATTAGATGACCAGATTTGTGCAGCTTGCGCATGGGCTTGAGGACGTTTTGTGCTCCGCGGGCTTTGATGTTGTGCTCGCCAAGAAACAAAAGTAACTGCATTTCGGCGACATCGCCAAACTTCAACACATCGTCTCGATACTGCGGAGATGTCTCATCAATCACGCAGCCATTAGCAAGAAAGAGCTATATGAATGCAGCGACAAGTTTGGCAGTGTATTACGTGTGCTTGCTCGAGCTATCAAACGAATCCCAGAGGCGGGATTTATGGGTATATCAGAAGAACCAGACGTCCTTCAGGTTTGTTGACGAACTTTTTTGGCGACGTTTGGCTGGTGGTTCTTTGATTTCATCCTCACTTCTTCCGTGTGTAGTTTTTGGGTGTTCTTTGTTGTAGACCTCAGCTTTAATCATCGAGACGCGAGATTCGAGCTTTTGGTTGACCTTTATTAACTGTTTAATCAATGAAGCTTGACGAAGATATACTGGATGCTTTGTCATATCGATCGTGCTGTCCATAGCCTTGATGGGTTTTGGTTACATATTTGTCTTCGTGTAGCAGGTTAGATGTGAAGACCAAGCTAGAAGATCGCTGACGGAGTAACCTTGCTGGATTACACACGCTTCCAAACGTGTGACAACAAGTCCGTCTTTCTTGAGCTGCTTCAACGATGGATAATTAAGCAGCAGGTAAGTGATGAGCGTTTTAATCACTCTTTCGTTCACGTTGTATTGTGCAGTCATAAGCCCTTGAGATGTATTGAAGAGCGCTGTCGGAACAGTTTGTATCTTTGTCTGTGTACCGGAGTCGAAGACATCAAGTGATAGGAGAGATACGTCAGTGTCGAGGTGTCGCCCACTCAAGACCCGGGCAACCTTATGGTCTTCGGAAGCTGTATTGAAGGCGTACGAGAAGGACTTATTCGTCGCTGTCGTATTCCAGGCGCCTCGGTCGAAGATCCACTGTACACACAATTCAGCCCCATTTGAATGCTGCGCCCCTCCACGCCGAAAAGAGTGAGATGCCAAGCGCTTAAGTACGCCAGCTTTTGCAGCGAACAGATCAAGAACACGGTTGACGTAGCTGTGCACACCAGGAACGGTATCGGGGATGTTCTCCTTCTTACCAGCGGTGGACAATATATCCGGTGAAGACACCACAACCTCTGGGTGATCGAGCAGATCGATGAGCGGAGTTGCTGGAGATAATATGGACTGTGAAATAGCCATCTGTTCAGGAAGTTGACTCAGCACGGACATAGCTGGCGATGAGTGAGTCACGAGGGCGAGAGCTATGGCAAGCAGAGGACATGTGGTGAAGTCTCCGTCAGGGAAAAGTGATAGACCTTTCTCATCAAAAGTTTTGATTCGGATGAATCGGACGAAGAATATGTCGCCCGAGCCGATAGACAGGTTAGACTTCTGCAGCATTGTGAGGTCCGATGCACGCCCAAAGAGGTACCAAAGCAGACACAACAGCGCCGCATCTTGGTAGTCAGCACTAGTAACCGCAGTTGAATACAATTATTCCATCATTTACTTGATTGCAGACTTTGTGCATGCTGGGGCCTTGTTCACCAACGACCCTGACTCACGCTTCATGCAATGGCGTTCGAGCGTCTGTCCCTTCTTGAGCAAATTCTTTTCAACCAATGCTCGATGCTGTGGGAACTGCTCCAGCATCCAATTCTTGGATTGTCGAAAGTACTGCATGACCGAGTGTCGAGCTAAGAGCTGTCCCTTTCGGCTTTCCTTGAACGCGGATTACATGCCAAACTTGTCCATCACAGCTTATAAGGCGAGAGGTGCCCTCTCGCGTTGCATGCACTGTTGCAAGTACTCCCAAGTAACCTCTTCCTGCTCGAGGAACTTCAAAATGAGCGCGTTGCGTTCTCACGGGCACGCTTCGTGTTGGCAGGTGCTAGGTCGGTCAGACTCATCCTCGGTGGAGATATACAAGCTTGGATGTTGTTTGTAAAATATGCGATTGAGTTACCTTTTGTCGGAGATGTCGGAGTTTGAGTGTTATTTTTCAAATATGCGAATAACTTGGTGTTTGTATAGTGATATCCATACCAGCATTGTTCTCTCCGACTTGATACGTCGGAGAGGTAGCTGCGAGAGCTTTACTTGTCCATCTACTCTCTAAATGGTTATGAATATTGCCTTTGTTCAATTTGACTCGCTAAAAAGGGTTTTCTATAACTACGCTCACACTATTGGTCAATCCATTCAAAATGTTATTGATGTGTGGTCGGAGAATCGATGTTATTTATCTATAAAAATCTGATTCGGCTTCTTACTTGTGCAAACTATTCTCAGATAGATTGCATCAGCATCTTCGATTGTAAATTACAAGCTGCATCGCAAGCTATAAAATCCAAATAGCAACCATCTAATCAAATTGCAATATCACAAATTGCATTCCACAAATCGCACGAATTGACCGTCGAATCTAGCTATCGCAATAACATGTTTTCCCTCGCAGTCTCGGCACATGTTCACATCAACAGAACTGTAGAAAACCCGACTGCTCTCGATGTTGAACACCTCTCTCTGCACATGATCTACAGAATGTATCGGTCGGACTGTCTATCTGTCATTCGACAAGGCACAATCGATTGCTCGAGCAGCAATGACACTGCGCGGGATCGTCCTGGATTTCTCTCGAGTCATACAAGCGTCTCTTTCCTCGTGCTGCTTTCCGCCCAAAAACATTCCCATCAACAAACCACTTCTCATTGCAAAAACTGTTTCGTGGATATGGGAATGTTTACAGCAACGCTTGACTTCTGCCAATGTTGTAAGCTCAATCACATCGCGGTAATTGGTGCCGGGTAGATAGATGGGACGTATTTTCTTAGTCGACCAGCCAGCAGTAGGACGACCAGGTAGCAGCAGGTCGGGAAACTTTCTAATCGCGAGTCGTACTGCAAGTCCACGCACCAGTCAGCTCCTCCTGGCTGCATCTGTGCATCGCCACCGGATGTTAAGTGTTTCATGACGCGCGTAACTTCAACCGGAACAGTCACAGCCTCAACGAAGAGGGAAATCATGTTTGCTGCTTGGTGACCACGAATGGACCTCAACGACACGTACTGCACCAACAGACAATGAGCACTCACAGACTCACCTGCCACTCCCTCACCCCATTTCAAATTGCCCACTCTTCAATTTGCCTCCTCGTCCTCGTACCCCTTTTTCAAACCACTGCACTGGTAATCCAGAAATGCCGCTGGGTATGGCATTAGTGCCGCAACGCACACTCTCGTTCCTCGCGTGTCTTGCACTGGTTTCCAGTGTGCTGGTCACCTGCACGACATCGCAGACGTACGCGTTCACGCACCAGGACGACGAACTCCACACGGCGCCAACGGGTGCAACGACTGGGAGCTATGTCAATGGGTCTGGATACCACGTCACGTCTACTAGCGAGTCCGAAGACGTTTTGACAATTCACCTTTCGTTGAACCCCACCTCCGTCCGCACGCCTTACGGCGCAGACTTGTCAGCTTTGGTGGTCACAGTAACTAAGTCAGACAGCGACAGTGTCCGTGTGAAGATCGTCGACAAGAAGAGCAAGCGCTGGGAGGTACCCACGAGTCTGTTTACGAGCGGTTCGCTGGGGGAAACCCCCGCGACCAGAAGAGTGACTCGGGCAGACCCATTGTACACGTTCCGCTACACGCACAACCCGTTCACATTTACGGTCGTGCGCAAGTCGGACGGCTCGAAGCTCTTCGACTCGTCCGGTGTCTCTCTCGTCGTGAAGGATCAGTACCTGCAGGTGGCGACAAAGCTGAGCACTGACCTCAGTGTCTATGGCGTTGGAGAGAGCACGCGCGACCACTTCAAGATGGCCCCAGGCGACAAACAGACGCTGTGGGCTCGAGACCAGCCGTCGAACGCGGCCAAAGTCAACACGTACGGGTCCCACCCGTTTTTCCTCGGCCTCAATCGCGCTGGCCAAGCGCATGGGGTCTTGTTGCTCAATAGCAACGGCATGGACGTCACTATGGACAGCAAACACCTCGTGTACCAGACCATCGGCGGTGTGCTCGACTTCCACATCGTCGTGGGACCTACGCCCGCGCAGGTCGTGGCGCAGTATACAAAGCTCATTGGACGGCCGAAGCTCATGCCGTACTGGTCGTACGGCTTCCACCAGTGTCGATGGGGCTACGGCTCGATCGATGCACTACGGACGGTCGTGCTCGAGTATGCCCGCAACGAGCTCCCGCTCGACGTGATCTGGTCCGACATCGACTACATGAACAAGTACCACGACTTCACGCTGGACCCGACCAACTTCGCGCAAGCCGAGATGGCTGCGTTCCTGGACGAAGTCCACGCGAAGGGACAGAAGTTCGTGCCGATCATTGACCCCGGGATCCCCGACGACACTGCTGACGATGCGTACACAAGGGGCTTGGCCATGGACGTTTTCATCAAGGACACGAATGGTGAGCCGTATTTGGGGCAGGTCTGGCCAGGGCCGACCGTGTTCCCCGACTTCTTCCACCCGCGAGCCAAGTCGTTCTGGCGCGAGCAGATCCAGTTGATGCACAACCGCTTTGCCTTTGACGGTCTGTGGATCGACATGAACGAACTGGCCAACTTTTGCCCTGGCACAACCTGTGTGCGGCAAGCCGATGTCACGTGCCCCAACACGACTGACCTCACGATGTGCTGCCTGAGCTGCTCGAACGACGGCAACAAGTACGACAACCCGCCCTTCAGTATTAACAATGCCAACAGCCAGGAAGTGATTCACAAGAAGAGCATCTCGACCAGTGCCCTGCACTACGGCAACGTGCGTCAATACGACGCGCACAATTTGTACGGCATGACGGAATCTATCGCAACGAACAGTATCCAGGAAGAGCTGACGAACAAACGGTCGTTTGTGCTCTCTCGATCGACGTTCCCCGGCAGCGGTGTCCACGTTGCGCACTGGACTGGCGACAATGCTGCGACTTGGAACGATCTTCGCTGGTCCATTGTCACCGTGTTGAACTTCGGACTCTTTGGTATTCCAATGGTCGGGGCAGACATCTGTGGCTTCTTTGGTGTCTCGACCATGGAGCTATGTGCACGCTGGACGGCGCTAGGCTCGTTCTACCCCTTTGCTCGCAACCACAACAACATTGAGGCACCTCCGCAAGAGACCTACGTCTGGCCTGAGGTGACCAAAGTGGGGCAGAAATTCATCGGCATGCGATACCGACTCCTGCCGTATATCTACACGCTCGGGTACCACGCACACGCACACGGGTTGCCAATTGCTCGTCCGTTGTTCATGGAATTTCCAACCGACATGGCCACGCACGACATTGACCATCAGTTCATGCTTGGCAACGCATTGCTGGTCACGCCCGTGGTGACTCAAGGAGCTACGTCCGTGACCGGGTACTTCCCACGTGGCACCTGGTTCGACGTGTTCGACTATTCCCAGATCACGAGCTCGGGCGAACTCATCACGACGGCGGTGACTCTGTACGACATGCCAGTGCACATTCGAGGTGGATCCATCCTAGCAATGCACCAGTCGGCGCTCACGTCAGCAGCAGCGCGTCTCACACCCTTTGACATTGTCATTGCGCTGGACTCGAGCGGAAGTGCTAGCGGCGACTTGTACGTGGACGATGGAGAGACGATACGCAATCCAGACGCTACGATCGTCAAGTTCGTTGCATCCGCCGGTACGTTCACATCCACTGTCGTGCGAGACAACTACGTCTGTGCTGGCTCAAGTTATATCGACAAAGTCACGGTGCTTGGCGTGCCGTCGTCACCTTCAAAGGTGTCCCTCGGCTCCATCCACAAGTACGACTCGAAGACGCAGCGGCTGGAGATCCACCTCTCGAGCGTCAAGCAGGCGATCGACTCGGACTTTAGGATCACATGGAGGTAAACACGACTTGGTGCAGCACTTACTGCGTTGACGTGCAACGCATGAGAATGTGAATAAACACCTCCTTTCGACAGCTCTTTCTTCTCGAGTGCAACGCGATGAACCGAACCTGTAGACTGCGTCATTGATAATCAATTGCTTCAGTCTGGTAGTTGTGCTCGGCTGGTGACGTGCACAACGAGCTCGATGTTCTAGTAGGTGGTCTATTCCTTGCAAGATGACGAGTTCTATCCCATACTGCTCGTTCGCAAGTGGGACCATTCACCGGTACAGTTGCTGATTACGCAACGGGCCCAAAGGAAGAACTAATCCTGCCGTCTGTGTCACGGAGCGTTACGTAAGACGCGACATAGTCGGCGGTCGTTTGATGTCCACCACATAGTAGCCGAATGTAGCCACCTGTTTACCAGTCAGAAGTAACTGGTGGACGCGAGCCACCCACCGAACCGCATAACCCCAACCGGACGCGAGCGTACCCAAGTTGGCCATGTCGAGCAGCTACAAGCAGAAGAAGCTCAAGACTGTGGCTACACGCAAGAAAACGCGCAAACGTCACCGGGACGATGGCCTGACGGTGGACGATGATTCGGGTCGGCTGTTCCAGCCCCCGAGGACACGAGAGCCACGGTGGAAAAAGCCATCAATGGAGACAGTGACGACCAGTGTGCTGCGCACGAAACGGCAGAAGAAGAGCGAGAAGAAACGGCGTCGAATGGCAACGACGAAGCGTCCGGACGACGATACAACTGCTGCTGGCATTGAGCTGGTCGAGCAAGACGCGGGTTTCTGCCAAGACGGGGAAGCAGCAGAGCTGCACGAGACCGAGGAGTCAAGTAACGCAGAGTCGGATGCCACTGCACGTCTTTTTGCATTGCCAAAGACGCCATTGCGACTGTGCGCGTCGCTAGAAGACGTGGTGGCGCAAGCGGCTGCAAAGCACGCGGACATCCGGCGCAAAGACGGTCGACAGAAGACCAAAGTGCTGCTGCTGGTTGACGCCCGCTCGATCTTCAAGCTGATGAAGAAGAAGCTGAACATTCGACTGGAGATGGTCAAGCCCAAGAGTCGACTGGGCGTTGGTTCTGCCAAGAAACCAGAGCTCGTGTACAAGAACACGGGACTGGTGAAGACGCCGCTCGAGCGCTTCAAGGACGTTAACAAGACTGTGCTCACAGGCTACAAGAGCGGCAAACTGTCGTCGATCCTCGCAGAAGACCTGTCTTTCCACCCGTACGCTGGTTTCAAGGTCCAGCACGTGATTTTCGTGGCAAAAGAGGCCGCATCCGTCGTGCATCTCGACCGCGACCTGCTGCGAAACGTTGCGCTCGATTCGTTCGTCATCTACGACGACAAGAGCGCGTCCGATAGTGACAACGAAGTGCTCCAGACTCTACGTCGAAATCACGACGTCACAAGTGCATAGGGTCGCACGTCACGATAATTGCACCGATTCTTCTGCTTTCACAACCAACCAACCAACCAACCAACCAATTAACCAAACCATAAAACAACCAAACCATTAAACAAACGAACAAACGCGACCCACGTAACTAATGTATCTCTTTGCATTCCCATAACATTGTCCGAAATTTGGGTCGCAGCCACACGATGCCCAACTGCTGGACGTGGGATCGAAACCGAGCGTATGAAAAAACACATTTTACATTCAGTCGTCCAGCGCGTTTCTCTTGCGTACACTATCGCATCTGAGGCGTCTGATTTTTCCACTCACCTGCGAGTGCACGACTTGAAACGTTCTCGACCATCACCCACCCCCACCCACCCGTCCACTATCACCCACTCACCCGTCCACCATCACCCACCCACCCACTCACCTGCCACCCACCCGTCCACCGCCGCGTCCGCTTGAACCACACGTAAAGATCCCCAGCCCCGAGCCGTCCGTCCGTCCGTCGATCGGTCAGTCGATCGACCGCCTTCTCCCCACCACATATGGACGTCCGCCAGGGGCCTCCCCCGCCCGTCGCAGCGCCGCCGGCCGCCGTCTGGTCCGACCACCTGAGCTCGACCGAGTCCGCCGTCCTCCTGGGCCTCCCCCTCACGTCGCTCCTCGTGTGGCTCCTGCTCCTGCGCGTGCTGTGGCGCCCCAAGTCCGGTCCCAAGTTCCGTCTCCCGAAACAAGTCCCGACCTATGGGACACTCGGCCTCGACGACGACCGCGAGCGCTTCGACTACGACGGCGACGCCGACGACCTCATCTACGCCGGCCAAGTGGCCGGTCGCTACGACACGCGCTGGACGCGGACGTTCGACTTTGTCTTTGCCATTGCAATGCTACTGGTGGGGCTCGTGCTCGCCGGGCTCACGTCCATTGTCGAGTCGGATCTGTGGACCAATCGGAGCTTTTGGACCTATTTGGGACTAAAAATGGTCCTCATCATGACTCTGTCCACGATTGGCGGCGGCCTCTGTCGCTTTTTCTGCATTGTGGACGACGCTGGATACGTCATTACCGAACGCACTTCGGCCTTTAAGGTCAATTACACGCGCAAGTTGCAGCTCTTGGCCGCGTACCTCGTGCCGCTGGTCGTGAAGCCGAGTGCAGAGACGTGTCGAGAGTGCAGTGGACCGCTGGCACTCGCGTGGGGCGACTACGTCACGCTCTGCTGCTTTTTGCTGCTGATTAAGCCCATTCGCGAGCGCTCGACGCTGTTTATGCTGCAGTTCAACTCGCTCGATCGACCGGAAGACCGACCGCATACGCTCAAGTGGATCGTCGCGGGCAACGTCTGCCCCGGGCTGTTCGTGCTGCTGTTTTTCCGCTGGCTCTTTGCGCGCACGACGCAGGCGGATCTCGTGTTCATCCTCGTGTTCGTCACGAGCATTGGCGACGGCTTGGCCGAGCCCATTGGCATTGCGTTCGGCAAGCACAAGTACTCGACCAACACGTGCTTCTCCAAGCGCAAGTACACGCGGAGCTTCGAAGGCTCGGCCTGCGTCTTCCTCTCGGGCATGGTCTTTCCCGCACTGCAGTACGCGGACTTTGACACGCCCCTGCAGCTCTGGCTCACCATGACGATCCTGCCATTTGTCGCGGCGTATGCCGAAGCAACGGCGCCGCACACGATGGACGCGCCCGTGCTCATGGCCGCAACGGGGCTCGTGCTCTACGCCGTCATCCACGTTGCTTGATCTACCCCATCCTTCTCCTCCTCCAGTCGTCACGAGCTTCGACATGTGAGTCCCTGCGAGTCATCACGTTCAGCACGCAGAGGCGACATTGCCAGCAACACACGTAGCCATTTATTCACGCGCTGCCCCGTTCTTCACTTTACCTTCGTGTGTGATGCCCTCTTGCTTTGCAACAGGCGCAGGTGGCAAGTACTCCTCCGTGCAAGTGGCTGGCGGCGTAAACACTTTCTTGCCTTCGGAGAACTTGGCGAGCGCCGTCATGTGGTCCGTCGTGAAGGCCGTGCTCGGTGCAGCTTCCGGCTGAAGCCACGGGTGCTGCAGCGCAAGGGCCGCTGGAGGGCGCTCCCCTGGGTTCCGCACGAGCAAATACTCGATGAACTTCTTGGCTTGCGGAGACACCTGCGCCGTGAGCTCGGCCGGGTACGCGAACTCGCCTTGACTGATCTTGTCTTCGACTTGCGACAGGAACTTGGCGTCGAACGGGAAGCGCCCGAACAAGAGGATGTACGTGACGACGCCAAGTGCCCAGAGATCGATCGCACAGTCGTAGCTGCCCGTCTTGCGGAACATTTCGGGCGCCATGTAATGGGGCGTGCCGTTCATGCCGGACATCTCAGCACTACCGTCGCCAACTGTGCTCATGTGCGCCAAGCCAAAGTCAATGAGCACGACGCCGTCCTGCCACGTCGTCGACTTGCACAGGATGTTCTCGACCTTCACGTCACGGTGCGTGATGCCGTTCAAGTGCAAGTACGCCAAGACACGCAGCAGTTGACGGACGATCTCAGCGACGTCGCACTCCCGCAGTCGAGGGGCGTCTGGTCGCGCAATGGCGTCCAGCAGTTCACCGCCCAGGGCCCTGTCCGTGACAATGACGACCTTGTCGTCGTCTTGGAAGACCTGTCGAAGCCGGAGGATGCCCGGGTGCTGCACGCGCGCCAAGATGGCCAACTCGGACTGCAGCGCTGCCACTCGGTTCGGTGTCGACAGGTACTCCTGTCGCACGACCTTCGCCGCGACCTCGTGGTCCTCCCACTCGCGTTCGCGCAGCTGGTTCTCTGCCAGCGGCTCGGCAGCTCCCGCGCGACTCTGAAGCTGCGACTGCTGCGGCCCTTTCTTCTTCTTCTTGACGACAAACACTTGACCCGTCTTGCCCTCGCCAACCTGGTACAGCGTGTCATACGTGTCTTCAAACGTTGCAGCGGTTTCCACCAGTGACTTGTCGAGCTGTCCACTTGCAAAGGTACTGCTGTGCGCCGGGACGAACGCTGTGGCACTGCCGCCGTCTTCCGTCGTCTGTCCCCCGTCTTCCTGCGCCTTTCGACGGCGAAAACACCGCAAACACCGCAGCATTTCCCTCTCTGTGTGTGTGTGTGTGTGTTGCCACTGGATATCGACGGCGTCTCGTTCGTTCTGCAATGGATCGAGTCGCACGGAGCGCTCGTACGTGACAACGACAACGACAGACAGACAGACAGACAGACGCGGGTCCGAATGATTCCGTCTCTACGCCCGTCTCTGCTCTAACACGGACTCTTTGCACTGGACCCGCTCTCGAGCGTCTCGTCGCTGCACGGACAGAGTGGGACTGTCTGACTGACTGATTGACTGACTGTGCGGCCGTCTGCCGTCGGACCGCATGTCTCAGGACCGACGCGCCTGACGGGCAGAAAGAGCGGCCGACGCGTCCTCTCCCCATCTGCACAGTGCTCTGCGCGCTCGAGCGTGTGGCTGCGTCTTCTGTAACGGGGTGAGCCCGTTACATAAAAATGGATATCTTTGTATCAATTTTTGAGCATTATCTATTTAGATAATGTTCAGTTGACATTACCCGTAAGGAGTAAGGTGAAGGAATATTACCCCCGAGGGTAATATATATTTGATGGGTTGCTCCACCTGATGGTTGATGTTCACGGTACATCAACCAGATTAACCACCAATCGCTGCTGGACGCGCGCAATGGATGGTGAGCAAGAAATCCACATAGGAGATTGTAGTTTGGTATAGTGAGCTCAAGACAAAAGATGGTTTATTGAAAAACATAACTATATAAAGTGCAGCTCTACCTTTTCCCTTAGACAGAGCTTTCGAGTTCTGCCTACTTCGCTGCGCCTCCTCACGCCACGTGTACGTGACGTCGGGTGCACACAACCTTGTGTTGAATTGACACAAGGCGTGCCCCGTTACATCTTCTGTACGTAAAATGCCCACGAACGGCGCCTGTGTGTGCCACGTGCGGTGGCTCTTCTGTTCTTCCACGCACTATATACGTCTTTGGGCGCGCATATCCGCTGTAGCTCCGAGCGCCTACCGAACGGCGCGCAACACGCACACACGTCAACAGCAGCTGCAGTGCCACGTGTTGGAAATGCTGGAAATGGGTGCGAGGGCACGAAAAGGCGATCGGAGTGGTCGGCCGGTGACTTGGGGTTTATTTGGGACCATGATGTCATAAACTCGCTGTGCTCAAAAGGTGGAACCAGAGTGACAAGCAGAATAGTGATTGTATTCAGGTAGAGTCAGAATGCGTGCGAGATGGATGACTGGAGAAGAGGGCTTTGGCGAGCACGGCAGAGAAGAGAGAACAGGTAAGAAGCAATACAGAATCTTATTGTTCACCTACCGCTTCCTTCTCGTGACACGCATCTTGCCTACCGGTTATGAGCCCAATGCCCTGAGCCACCGAAACGACTACGAAGACCCCAGGGGGTAACCCGCGAGCCTCGCCTGAACGCGGCTTGCCATGGCGTGCGCCCACCGCATCCTCAGTCGTCGAAGATTGATCCGCTCGCGATAGCGGGCAGCAAGAGGATAAGATCCTCGCCGCACTCGCCGCATTCACCGATCGACTGGCGAGCCTCGAGTCGTCGCAGAGAGTGCGAGACGAGGAGGAGCGCATGCTCGGGGCCGTAGAGAGTAGCCTTTTCGCCTCGAAATTCGGCGCTAATATGCGCGGTCGACCGATGATGATCGACGCGATCGGACACGCGGAGGAATAGGCGCCACCGTATGCTCCACCTCCGCAGGCGTATGCAGCGCCACCGCCACCGCAACAAACCGCTCCGCCCCAAGATTATGTGCGCCCGGGCCTCAACGGCTATGGGATGCCTACGGCAAGCAAGCGGAAGTTGAACATACGCAAATTCGACGGTACAGAGCGGTACCGCGGACTCGAGAGCGGATTCTTCGACTGGATGCGCACGTTCCTCCGCGCGGCGAGCCTCGCGGAAGCGTCGTGTGGTTTCGGGTGGACCGAAGACGTCAAGGTCGACCTGATTGGGCACTTTCTCGCCGGCACGGCTGAGAGGTAATATCACAAGCAGGTCGACATCTGGCGGACACAGACATCCACACTGGAGTACATCATGGAGCAGCTTCTGCGCACGTTCAAGACGTCAATCACTGCGCGCCAGGCGATGAAGCTATTCATGGCCAAGAAGGACGCACGATGCACCTAGGCCGAGCACTTCCTGTATATGGTCGCCGTCAGTGAGGCGCGTGGTGGTGCCGACTCGCTTGTTCTCGATAACATCCTCCACCACGCTTCACCGGAGATGACGAACGAGATGCGATCCAAGTATGAACCCACGTAAGTCGGCCACCTGCGCGACTCCGAGGAGATGGCGCACTTCGCGCAGTCCATCGAGCACCGCAGCAGCGCAGTGGGTCGTGAGGTCGTCGCCGCGCACGTGGAAGGCAAACCAAAGGGCGCGATCACGTTGTACCGATGAGGGCGACCGGGGCACATTGCGGCCGACTGTCGCGAGCGAGCCGTGCACGACGACGAGACACCCGCTCAGGGTGGAGACGCCAGCATGATCCTCGCGCTGACCGAGAAGTGCAATGAGATCACGAAGAAGCACGACAGGACGAAGAAGGGCTCGCGCGGCAAGGACACCGCAGCGAGTAATGCAAGCGACGAAGCGCGACTCATGAACTACTCATACGGCTTCGTTCTTGCGACGAGCGACGGAGCACGAGCCACGGACGGCACGCGTGGCTTCGTGCTGGCGGCAACCGAAGCTGAGGGCGCCAACCGAGAAGACTGGATTTTCGACAACGGCGCGAGCCGGCATCTCGTCAGCGACGCAGCCACGAGATCGCGATGGCAAACGGCGACTCGCTGCACCTGACGCGTGTCGGCATCGTGCGCCTAGAGGTTCTCGCGCGCGGAGCGGAGGCGGCCGTGAAGCTCACGGATGTGTACTTGGCGCCGCGACTGGCAAAGAACATCGCGGCGTAAGACAAGCTCGAGAGAAATGGGTTTTCCCTCGTGCATAACGACGACAAGCGCTCGCTCGCTCGGCGCAGCGATGGTGCGGTCGCGTCCGAAGTCGCGATCGACAGCAACTGTATATCGTGACGACGGCCACGCGCGACAAGGAGGGTGCAGGCGGCGACGCGATCGTAGCGGCACTCGAAGCGCATGCGACGTAGACCAACGCCGACAAGCCGCATGAAGCCTCGATGTTGCACTAGCACCAGCGATTCGGCCACCTCACGTTCGATACGATTGACGCCATGGCACGCGACCCGGCATCGGTCATTCGGCTGAGCAGCAAAAAACGCATGGCGTTCCTGTCGTGTCTTGAGGACAAGCAGACGCGCAACGCGCAGTCGCAACAATACAGCGGCGCGAACTCGTCCGTCGATCGCATCGGCGGCGCCATATGCTCGGACCTGAAGGGTCCCATGACGCCGCAGGATAGACTCGGCAATCTTTAACTTGTTAACTTCATTGATCACAAGAGCAACTACTGCATAGTCTTCCTTGCGCGCACGAAGGAAGCATCGGCGAAGCAATTCGAGGCGTTCCTCGTTCACTTCGAGAATCTCTCCGGGTTCAAGATCCACGTGCTCTGCACGGACGGCGGAGGAGAATACGCCAACGTGAACCTGTTCTGCGAGCGCGCAGGCGTCGCGCGCCAAGTGTCGGAGGCGCGCAACAAAGCGTCATACGGCAAGGCAAGACGAATGCACCGGACAGTGCTGAACCTCGCGCGCTGCCGCTGACGTTCTGGGGAGACGCGGTGCAATACGCCGTGCACGTCCTCAACCGGAGCCCCACGCGAGAAAACCCAAAGAGAGCGTCACCAATCGAGGTGATGACGGGCAAGACTCCGGATCTGCGCGGAATCGTCGTCTTCGTCTTCCCGTGATGCTTGTACAGGGACCCGCACAAGAACTCGCTGCTGCAGCGCTCGAAGTTCGCCATCATTGTCGGCGTCAGTGAGGAAACCAAGGGCTACAAGGTGCTACTACCGCTTGACAACAAAGTGGTCGTCACGTAGCACATCAAGAACATCGGGACGCTGACGAAGGCGCAAAACGCGCAACTCCAGCGCGCGATGGACGTCGGCGATCAAGTCGGAGACTTGGAGGAGCCGGACGCGCCATCAGCAGCAGCGGAGAACGATGGTCGCGCAGAGGGCACCGGCGCGACGCGGAAGAAGAGCGGAAAGCGATGGAAGGGAGCGGATCATGGAACACGCGGCGAACGATGGTAGCGCAGAGGACACCTACGCCACGCGGAAGAAGAGCGGAAAGCGATGGAAGGGAGTGGAGCATGGAACACGTGGCGCGTCGAAACGCGCTGAAGCGGCAGATCGTCAGGAGGGGGCAGCCGCGAGCGGATAGGTCTTGAACGCTGCTTTTGAGCGCGATCCGCTCAACTACGGACAGGCGATGCACAGCGGCAAGCTCGACGGGTGTGATAAGGCGATGCAAGAGGAGATCGCCGCGCTCGAGGCCAACGCCGTCTAGACGATCACGAATCGAACGCCAGGGACGCACACGCTGCACATCAAATGAGTCTACAAGACCAGGCCGGATGCGCAGGGCGACCTCGAGCGGCTGAAGGCGCGATTGGTGGCGTGTGGAAACGAGAAGGTGCTCGGCGTTGACTACACGCTCACCTTCGCTGTCGTGATGGACCTGTCGACGGTCGAAGTGATGCTGGCGCTTGCGGCTACGTGGGGGGGTGCCTGCCAAGAACGGCAACATCCCCAACGCCTACATCAAAGCGGAAAAGAATCCGCACATTCGCATCTTCCTGAAGATGCCGCGCGGAATACCGATCTCGGAGGCGTCGATGCGAGCGCAAGGCGTCGCGAACGCGAGCGAGCTAGTGCTGGAGCTGCGGAAGAGCTTGTATTGGCTCAAAAAGGCAGGCCGGCTGTGGAGCCAGCTGCTGCCGGCTTCATGATGTGCGAGAGCGGCGTGTGCTTCAACTGAAAGTGCGACGGCGACGACCTTGTCGTGGTCGGCGTGTATATTGACGATCTCCTCACGACAGAGACGATCGCGACGGCGGTCGAGCGGTTCTTAGCAAGACTCACGTCGTTATCGATCAAGGACCTGGGGCGTGTCAGCAAGTTCATTGGCACGCGCGTGACGCACGACGTTTAGCGCGGGTACACGCTTGATCAGGAGGAGGACATCGGAGACCTCCTGCGCGACAACGGGCTCACCGACGCCAACTCTACGTGAACGCCGATCGACGACAGCTGCTACGAGCTAAAGGAGGGAGACGCGAAGCTTCTTGGGACGCCAAGCGCGCGACCAGGACCGAAAGTGTGCCAGTTCCAGTCGCTGGTCGGATCGGTGCTCTAGTTGGCGCGTTGCACGCGCCCCGACATAGCGTGTTGGTGCACATGGTCACGAGATGAGCATAAGCGCCTCGACTGGCAGACTGGAAGCTGGCGAAACGCGTCACGCGATACCTCAAGGGTACGGCGGAGCTCAAGTTCGCGATGATCCCAGGAGACAACCCGAGTGCGGCGATGCGCCTGGAAGCGTTCAGCGACGCCGGTTTTGCCGTCGACAAGACGGACCGGAAGTCAATGACGGGCGGCATCGTAATGCTGAACGGGATGGCCGTCAGCTGGGGTGCGCGGAAGCAGGGAGGCGTCTCCCTGTCGACGATGGAGGCGAAGTTTGTCGCGGCGAGTGAGGTCGCGCGCGAGCTGCTCGGCCTGCGCGAAGTGGGCGTGGAGCCCGCGCTCCCGATGCAGTTGCGAGTGGACAACCGAGCGGCGATCGCGCAGATCGCGGGCGAGGCATCGTCGTTGGAGGCGAAACACATGGATGTGCGCCTTAAGTTCCTCTGCGACTACTCGCGTCGCGGCATCATCGTGGCGAGCTACGTCAGGTCGGAGCAGATGCTTGCAGACCTCCTCACGAAGGCGTTGGACGCGACGAAGCTCTTGCCACTGCGCGCGCTCGGGCGCATCGGGTAAGAAAAGATCAAAGACGATCAAGGGTGTTCAAGGAGCTCAAGGATGAAGAAGCACAAGGAAAAGGACATATGCAAGCTCGAGAAATGGGAACGGGTGTTAGGGCAAGTCACGACCGAGGAGGAGTGTTGGAAATGTTGGAAATGCTGGAAATGGGTGCGAGGGCACGAAAAGGCGATCGAAGTGGTCGGCCGGTGACTTGGGGTTTATTTGGGACCATGGTGTCATAAACTCGCTGTGCTCAAAAGGTGGACGCAGAGTGACAAGCAGAATAGTGATTGTATTCAGGTAGAGTCAGAATGCGTGCGAGATGGATGACTGGAGCAGAGAGCTTTGGCGAGCACGGCAGAGAAGAGAGAACTAGTAAGAAGCAATACAGAATCTTATGTTCACCTACCGCTTCCTTCTCGCAACACGCATCTTGCCTACACCACGTGCGTCGAGTCGAATGAGTCAACTGATGGTCTCACCCGATCGCCACCGAACAGTCTGCTGGACGTGTTGATGCAGTCACTTGGGCGCTGCTGCTACGACTACTTCTGCTGCTGCGCTCTGTCTGGTTTAACCGTTTTTCGGCAGTGTGACACTGCAGGACCACGCTCGGTGGTTTATAGTGGATCTGCAATCCCTAATTGTCGACAGTCGACCGCCTTAGTGTACGTCCGTGAGGCAGTGATGAGTCAGTAGTGATCAAGAGTTTGGCTGCTGCAGAAACAGTTTGGATATTGTGCTCCTGCACGAGGACAGCTGCGGGTCCGTGTCGGCCAAAAGCGACTAAACAGCTCAATAGAGTCATATTGTGGGACGTCATCTCACGACGACAGTGGGGACGCAAAGCAGGACGACGCTAAAATAGATAGCGCTACTAGAAATAAAATAGGACTGACCGTAACGTTCAGCTGTCGTTTAGCGCACTGCTTGTGCTTGAACCGCAACACACACACACATGGGCAAGAATCGGCACAGTAAAGACCGGCTGTTCATTACGCAGACAGAGCATAAGTACCTGTACGGAGGCAAGAAGCAAACGATCCGTCGCGCGTACAAACGTACGTCCTTGCACGCGCGCACTCGTCGCGTGCTTTATTGCTGGTGCGCTGATTTATTTTACGGAGCTGGCGCTAATGTGGCAACCAATAGGTCTTCCGTTTAACTGCTGCGCTATTACTCTCCGCCCGTTTACGGTGCGCTATTCAATTGCTTTTGGGCTCGCATGATTCGGTCATTCATGTTTTGAAACTGCTGTCTCGTTGATTTGATGTTGATGGGTCGTTGATCATAGAATCCGGTTTGTACGCGGGAAGGTCATTTGTTTGACCTCGAGGCAGTCGTGCCATTTGTCAAGGCGCACGGCATCGTACGTTCACTGGTGTTGATAAGTGCGAATTTTATTTGCCAATTCGTGAAGTTTGTGACACGTTTCTGTGGCGTGCTCTGTAGAACCCCGTGACGGGCAAGTCGCTGGTGTTGAAGGAACTCATTCAGCTGCAGTTTAGTAAGAATTCACAAGGAGAGTACTTTTGCCCCGTGACGTACAAGGTCTTTACGGACAACACCAAGATTGCTGCAATAGCGACGACGGGTAATGTGCTGTGCTACGAAGCTGTGGACGAGCTGAACATCAAACCGAAGAATTGGACGGTGCGAACTCTGGACTGATGTGTCAGCATTTGTACGACGCAGTTTCGCTGACGTCAAAAATGTAAGCAACAGGACCTCATTTCTGGTGCAGCATTCAAGCGCAAAGATATCATTATTTTGCAAGACCCGCAAAATCTCTCGAACCGCGAAATTGAAAATTTCGAGCACCTCCGGCTTGCAAAAGCGAGTGACAGCGTACGTGCCGTGCTTGTCTACGCCTGATGGCTGTCTTCTTGCGTGGGCTTGGTGAATTTGTAGTCATTTGGTAACGCGGTATCGATTGTGCAGCATGGTACTTCAGCGAGCGCAACTCGGATGATCCGCACAAACGCTGCAACGGATCGTATCCTCGAATTGGTAGGGAAATGAAGCAAACTTGATTGCGTGGCAATATTGGATCGCGACAACTTACGCGGTTTGGTGTGCACTGCAGCTGAGTGCTGAGCAAACAGCGCAGAAGGAGTTAGCGGAAAAGATCAAGCGAGGAGTTGATGGCGTTAGCGAGAAAGACAAAATTGTGGCTTCGATGACTCACTGCAGTTTGCCAAAGCACGAAGCCGTGGCAGAAACAGCTGCGAGACCAAACAAATTGCAGTACTCGCACTTTACTGTCGGGGAATGCTCGAGCTCGTTTACATCTAGCGTGAGAGCTCCAATGACAAGAAATGCAATGGCGTTGGTTTCGCAGCCGGACCTGCTCGAACAGAGATGGCAGGCTGTGCGAAAGCTGAAGAAAAAAGGCCTGGTGCGACTTGACACCAGTCTTGGCAATATCAACTTGGAAGTGGATTGCGACGTTGTGCCGCAGACGGCTGATAACTTCATGACCTTGTGCCAGAATAAGTACTATGATGGTGTCCTTTTCCACCGGGTCATCAAAGGTTTTATGATGCAAGGAGGGGACCCAACTGGGACAGGTCGGGGTGGCGAATCTGCTTGGAAGAAGCCATTTCGTGATGAAATTGACAGTCGCCTGGTAAGAGATACAGCTAAAATCGTGGATGGATATCTTGGTTGCTAAGGCTTCTTTCTGTGTGATGGTGTTCAATGTGCTTGATGAAGTCTCACAGCCAACGAGGCGTGCTCAGTATGGCGAATTCGGGACCCGGAACGAACAAGTCGCAGTTTTTCATCACGTTTAAAGCGTGTCCGCACTTGGACAAAAAGCACGCGGTTTTTGGTCGAGTTGTCGGAGGGATGGATGTGCTGGATATTGTCGAGCGCGTGGAAACTGGCGCGGAGGATCGTCCGATCGACGATGTGCGCATCAGGAGTGCCCAAGTGTTTTCGAATCCATTCCTTATGGCCGAAGAAGCGCGGGAACGAGGTCTAGACGTCGTTGAGGTCGCAAAGGAAAAAGCTGCGAGCGAGGCAACATCTGAGGTGCACGGCGCCGTGTTCAAAGTTGATGGAAAGTGGGTTGCATACGACAATGTCGAAGAAGTGGATGTGGCGAACCTTCCGAGAAGCGAAACGGCTAAAAGCGAGAAGGTGGGAAAATACTTGAAGACCAAGTCGGACGCTGTTGCTAAGAAGCGGCCACAGGAATCATCAGCGATGCTTGTTGCTATCGAAAGTAAAAAGAGAAGCAAGAACTCACGTGGCGGGTTTGGTGACTTTCCCGGGTGGTGATGCAAAGGATGTTAGCTTCGCTCACGCTTGAAGCAAGGATCATAATTGTATGTATGTTTGAATTGGCATGCTGTATTGTTCGTGCTGATGCCTTACGATCTGGTCGAGTTGAGGGAAGTTTGTGGTTTGTCATGGAGAGGAAGTCACTGGTACGTACGAATCCATGTACAAGCTTTTGGTTGGCTACAACCCTCATATCTGTACAACTCGCACCAAAGTGACCTGTTGCAAGCGATAAGCAATGACAACCGTGGCATGTCCTACTAGAATTGGTAGGACGGAAGTGCGCTTTTAGAAGTTAAGTGTCTGACGGTCTCACTACGATGGAAAACAGTTGCATCCATCCGCTCGAGCAAATATCGCCCATTCACTGTGACCACGTAATGCTTTTTACCACAAATTTACGCGGTAGCAGTGACTTGTGCCATCAGCAGCTTCGCGTGCTCGAATACGGATTGATCCAAGCTGTTCAGTAGCCCAACAGGTGCAATTGCAGATGTCGCTTATGCAGCTTGCCTCGCCATTTCTCATTGCTGAGCAATTTGTTCCTTCAATCGTACAGCAAACGTTGTCATCGAAGCGTCAGTGTTGCTGCACCTGCGCTATCAGACAAACAAGTGAAAGTAACGGGGGCTAAACATCAACTGAAAGAAGAGACTGGCAATAGTCCGAGCGTCGAGCTTTATCTTGTCTACCGATCAAGTTGGTCTACAATGTCATTCACACTGCAATACCGAAGAAGTTCTCCTGTCGATGCCACGTCAATGCCATGTCAATGTGCATCATCACTAACCACCGCGTCGTGGTAAGGTCCGTACCGCGATGCTGCGCCTTTTTTCTGCTATTATCAAATTTGTATGTGCGAGTACAAGTTGTAGTTCTGCATCAAGAACTGACGTATCGACCAAGTGAATGGTGACTTACAAGCGTTTTGTTGACATCTTGCAGCATGTTATCAGAAAGTGGTTGAACGAAAAAACTATGCACGATATGGACACGAGTTATGTTTGCTCGAAATACGATCGAGTGGCAGGCATGACTTCAGATAAACGTGGGCTCGTACCATGCCTTTGGTGATTCTTCGAGCGAGTTGGTATGGATCTTCAACGACAGCGTGCTTTCGCCTGCAAGCTGCGCGATGTTTCATGACAGCAACGAGAGATAGTAGTGGGTTTGACCATTTGACCAAGCGAATTTCTGCACTACACACCTGTTCTGCATTCTCCAGACAAACTTGTGTGTCATCCTCAATGCTACTTGTCGGTCTCAGGCACACCCTTCCATGTGCACCCTGCAACAGTGTACTATAAGCTGCAGAAAGGCAGCGGGATGTTCCGTATGTACGCTATTGTCATGTAATCTATTGTTACGTTTCTGTTGATGCTGATATGATGCAAACTCGACAATCGCGCAAGGAGAGCTCATGACACACCGCTTTTGTTTGCGGGTCTGGTCTAATCATACATAGAATATAATGCAACACACGCTACGTCTTTCTGTTGAAACTGTCTCGAGAATGTATTTGCGTGACCTTTACAATCATAGCCGACCCATGTCCATCTCGTTGCATTTACCTCGTTTCAACTCTTTCCTGTGTTTGCAACTTAGCCTCCCACCACATCATGCTTACTTTCTTACCTCAACAATTGACACCTCAACATCTGCTGCTACCGTTTTTGCGTGTCTCAATGATGCCGTCCACCCTTCTCGCCATTCTGCATACACGTGATGCCTCAGTCGGCTATGACTGTTCGCAAACTAATTCGACGGGCTCGATGTATTGACACGCCTCGCGATACAGCATTATGCAGCCATATTAGCTCGCAATAAACGGTCGATAGAACGAATCCTGGACGGGAAGGACGCCGGTCTGTCGTTCCAAACTGAGCGATATGACCAGAGTTTGGGATTCGTCAAACTACCGTGGGTAACTTACGGTGAGGGCATATATCTGCTGATGTCGGCTGATGCGCCCAAATGATATACATAATCGTCCAGAAGAAAGGAATGGTACAGATCTCCCTCGATAAGCTATCCCCGATAAGATGTAGCACACGATAGGTTATCAAATTGCGCGTCTACCGAGCTCGTTCTATGACCGCCAAGTCATATGCCATACTTGGATCCAGCATAGTTGGCACAGCTTTATTATTATTTTTTGTATTTTCGAGATGAGAGACCCAAACCACATGTCAAGGGTAGTTTGGGTGGTAGGTGCGTTGCAAGTATCAAGTTGAAGTTGCGGAGGACTCTATAACGGCTCGGTGACTCTCCTGTGAATCATTTAGCAGGTGGCAGGTATCATCATGCAGGTTGATCTTTTCACTGTTAGTGAACATGTCTGCGTCAGGCGCCACATCTCCACTATTTGCCCCTCCCTCCTCAGCCTCCTGTACCTCTCCAATAACCTTTTCTCAGTCAACTCCGACGGATAAGTCTCATCCTCATCGATGGGATCGATTTAGCTCTATCTTCGCCATGGGACCCCGGACTCACGTCTGATCAAGCTGTGCCCTCAGCTCCTGCTCCAGCTCACTTTCCGCCTCTTCCACCTCCGTCGCGCCGTCTTTGCTCCCTTCCACATCCACAGAACTCAAAATGACCGATAGCTCAGGAAACGTCCTCGTGTGGCTGAAGAAATTGACAGTGGCAGTCACCGAGGTATCGTTTTAAACAGCCACCGACTAGCGCATTGCTGTAAGATGGACGACTTTGTATATGTTTCCGACCCCTCCACTCTACCGCATGTTGCTGATGGTAGCGGCAATAACGCCGCTTGAGTGCTGCGTTGATGCCGGCATCCATTGGCTGGGTCTTGGACGTCGTGTTTGGTGGAAGCAGCTGGACCATGACATTGATTAACTCAACAGGGCACACGTGGTATGCGAAAATGCATTGTTTGTCGAAAGAAGAATTTCTGTTTTTCTGGTAAAGTAAGTTTTCAAAGAGTCGAATGAATTGAGATTTAAGTTCTTAACTTTCGGCCGACCACACATCTTTATTGTTTTATCAACATTTACAAGCCGTTCGTGGAATAAATCGCCTACCATCCAAGGCTTGGTGTTGTTGCGAAAGGGGGTCGTAAGTGCTTGGCCTGACTTCGTTCAATAGCACCTGAATTTCTTGGGTATTCCAGTCAAAAAAATAAAGCTAAGCTTATCCGATCCATCGGCCTTTGCATTGAGCGCAATGTAATAGCGCGTATGCAGAGGACGTCATTGAATACTCTGTGTCGGCAAATACCAATTAGTAATCTGAATACACACGTTCTGTGTCTTTTTGTAACCATATAATCTCTTACTGTGCGATCGTTGTCTCGGTCGACATGCAGTAGAATAGCCCCGCAAATTCGTTAGTCACACGCTTTTTCAATCGACCGTTGCTATCACCGAAATCTCATATGGCAGTAATTACCCAAGTTCAATGGGACCACATCTTTTGTGTGGTTAGCGACTAATCATGCCAGATCCATAGGAAGGCGCAAGATCATAGAGAGGACACATGCGTCACAGTGATAGTGGTTATTACGTTCATTCAGTTTACAATCGCCATCGAAGCACTCGGGTACTAACAACTGCTAGCAGTGAAGAGTCGGCTGCTGAGTTGAAGAAACTCCGGTGCAAGTAAAGCTAGATAGTGGGCGCTCGGTCAACCAGACAAAGAAATTGCTTAGCATAATTTAGACATGGAAAGCTTAACATTTTTATCCACGTTGTCGACATCACGCAGGGCTTACTCGGCAATGACCCTCTGCAGATCACGCAGAGCTTTATTCATAGCCTCGACGTCCATCAAAAAGATTTCATCTTGGATACGTATAACGTGAAGCTTGGCACGCTGTAAGATTCCTACTGCTGTCCATGCGAGAAAGCAATAGCGTCGTCCGGAGTGCCAACCATATGATAATGCCGCTGGGCCTTCTCGCAGACAAGGTTCCTGACTACAATCCCTCCGCAGTGCTGACACTACTGGATCAATAGACCACAGATTCTTCGACTATTAGATGTTAATCAGCCGCTAGCACTTTGCTATCAGGGTACTTGGACTCATGGTCTCCAAATTAGCCCGCTTTCGAATGATCCTGATGGTTGATGATTGATGTCTGTGACAGCAGTTTGGCAAGGCCGAGCTGCTTCGTTGCCCATTAGCCAGCGCCATTCGAAATGAACATGGCTTCGCGTCCTCGTTGTTGTATATTTGCAATCGCTGTCCATTGGTACGCCAAATTTCCGACATCTACAGCTGTTTAGATAGTACATCACCAGGCAAAGGCACTGTTTACCACTGTATAAAAAACATGAGAGCTTTACGAAGCAAAAGATTTTAGCACGGGCAAAAAATTGGGGTCACGTCTCACACCTTTGTTAAACTAGCCAGGGGCTATGGAATAAGCTTCTTTGCCAGTGTCCAGATCCTTGACAAGAAGTTCCTGGCTTGTTCCGGAGAAAGCGGGGCTGGCTTCGAACCACTTTTTTATTGTCCACCTTCATTGTTTCCGGATAATAACGATACACACACAAAACAAGTTCTGACCTCTGTGAAGTTATCGAATTTATCGCTCACCGTACCCATAACTTATCGGGGGAAGGCCTGTATACGTCCAGTACGCGGCACGAGCCGTTTCGTGCCCTGATGTATTTCCAGCTATTAGATATGTTTGCAATGCTTGAATACGGGCTTGCTACATATACCTGCTATTGCATAAACGTGCACCTTACCAACAATTTTACATACACTCGCGTATCTACTATTTGAAACTTGTACGTTCATGCTACGGATCGAACCGGGATATGTTTACACATGCGAACGATCATCCAATATATACAAAGGATTAATGGAACGAAATTTGATCACTTACGTCCAAGGAAGAAGAATAGTAGATTCATTTCCTCTGGAGAAGTAAAGCCACACGACTTGTGGCGGGGCTCGTAAATAGACGGTGGAGTCGAGGCACAGTGAGTGAGGGAGAAGTCGAGGTACATTTACGTACGCGAGCAACG